GGGGTGGGCTCCAATCCACCCACGTCCCCTCCAGCTCAAGTTGGGCAAACCCCAGCCCACAGCTCCCTCCCCCTCTCTTTTCACCCCTCCCTTCATGCAGACAGTACTGGGAACGGGGCTGGGCTGGGTTGATGTAACCCACCCCCAATCACATGCAGGGATTGACAAAATTTCCCTAAGGTATTCCACTTAGGAGTGCTTTCATCTGAGCCCTCATTAGATGAGGGTTATTTTGCTGTGCAATCTGCCACTTTTAAAGCACTCTTCAGCCATGTACATGTGTCACAGCATGATTGTAGAGTGCTTTCAGGGGACTGATCACGTGACAAATGTGATTTTTGTTAGCACCCTAAGTGACTACGGGTAGCAAAGTTCTGCTGTCATTCATTTTAGTCTACAGGTGGTGCCACTGAAGAAAACAGACTGTACAGGCTCAGCCTTTGCTGATTATGAATAAGGGTGGCAGAATCTGCCTTTTTAGTGCCTTAAATTTAACCCAGAAACATTCTCTAAAAACAGAGGTCATGCTTGTAATCTCATTTACATTGGCTTTACACCAATATAACTTCACTGAGTTTAGTAGGATTCTCCCTTATTTACATTAGTTGAACTAATGTAAGAGCAGAATTGGTCCCAAACACACTGGAAATAGACACTCAAGCCTTCCACAGATTTTCACGGGGGAATTGAGACCACTGTTTGGCCCAGTGTACTGTTATTCTAGCTGAATCAGTGAGGGATCTGATGCCAACATACACTCTTAAAATTGTCAGCTTATGCTGCTGTTAAAGCCATGGACAGGCAGTATATTTGTAGCACTGAATGTGTGCTTGTAGCACAGCAAAAAACGTGCTATATATAGCACTATGAAGATGCAGGAAGTGTTACAAGATATTGTGGGTGATTATCTTTATTTGTACCGACTGTATGGTTGGTATAGACATAGGCAAGCTTTCTGGTATATCGCTACCCTTGCTCAGGCCTCAGTATCACCTCAATACTACAAAATATCAGTACTTTCAAACAGGAGCTTCTTAGCAGTGTTATGTAGCATTATGTGTAATGCCTGTACATTTACTTGTAGTACTACAGGGGTCTCTAGGACCCCCGTCATCCCACAGTATGCTGCTCTTTTCCCAAAGGGGGCGAGGAAGGGAGGGGAGTGGCTGGCTCCCTGATTGTCTGCTTAGCTGCACTTGAACAGACTTGGCTCTGTCTGGGACTCTTCAAGCATGTATGGGGGTGGGGTAGAGGTGTAATTCCTGTAGCTGCATAAAAAGTCCTAGACAGAACTGACATTCTAAGTGGAGGGGAGAAGTCTCTCATTCTAACCCTAACCCCTGTCTCCACCTGCCATTGCACGCTGTGGCAATCAGTTGGCGAGAGGGTGTTAGGGTTAGGGTGGGGGAATTCATGCTGCCACTGTAAGAGCCCTGGCATGAGGTGGCGCCCTGGCATTGGCAGTAGGGGTGAGGAGAGTGGTATTCTTACTCCTGCCACCCCTACAGGTTGGGGAGTAGGGGGAGCTGTCTTTGGTACTGCTGCTTTTTAGCAGCTGGGAACTGATCATTGATAGCCTGCCCCCTTTTCCTGTCGGGGGGGGAGAGGCTTTCAGTGACTGGGCTCCTCTGGGGTGGCAGAGCAATAGGAATAGCCTACTGTTCTCCTCAGCTGGAGAGCTCACATTTTTGTGACAATTTTATAGCTCTTCAGACTTTGCAGATCTCCAGATAAGGGGCTGGAATGACTGCATGTCCCCGAGCGCTACAGTTTTGTAGTGTTTCCAAGTGCCAAAACACTACAAATAAATACCTGTCCATAATCTAAGTTGTATGTCATGCAAGCATCATTATTCTGTGGGTTAAACTTCACTTCCTACCCACACATGCATGTACTTGTACATGCATACACATTCTCTTCGTTTTTCATTATTTTTTATAAATTATTTTTTATAAATTTGTTACTTTTGAAGAGTTTCATTTGCTCTGGATGTTTATAAAAAGTACTTGTGTTCCTTTAATTACCAGATACCTGAAAGACTATCAGTTGTTAGGTTATCCTTACTGTAGCACGCATTTATCCCTAATGTTGATGGACTGTATCTGAATAAATGAGGGCTTGATGGTTTGGACCTTTACCACCTCAAGAACAGCTGTGGGAAGGAATTCCCACTCAAGAGAGATGCTTCCAATTCCCAACTCTCTTCTGGGTCTGCGGAATGCAGTATTGCTTTTTAGGGAGCAGATTATTTTCCCTTTTCTGACTGGGTTCTCTTCTTGACACTTGGAAGGGCAAAACTAGGGCTTCACTGTAATCTTGCAAACATTCCACCCACACGCTCACAGGAGAAAGAAACAGGGATACAGTCTGACTTATCCCTGTCTATCACTTAGGGCTCCTAGAGACATGCAGGGAGGCTACTCCACGTGCTGTAAATCCAGTGTGCCAGGGCAGACTTGATTAATCGGAAATTAACACGCTCTAGCAGCCCTGTGTGTTACGTGTATCGGTGTCCCCATGCTGAAAAATGGTGGCAGAGTGCTTTAAATTAAAGCTCGTTCAATGGGTTTAGTTTAAAGCATCCCACCATCATTTTTCAGCGCAGGGACTCTATACACGTGATGCTCAGGTGCTTTTAATTAGCCAGCTTGTTAATTAAAGTGCCCCCCTGCCTCCCGGAGCATGGCTATAAATGTCCTTACTGTGCATCAGAGCTGGTCCAGCAAGGAAGTATGTGGAACTGGAGAGGTCTTATTCCCAACTCCTTACTTTTTCATGGCTGTATAACACCAGGGTGCACTCTTGTCATATCTTACACATTCAGCAAAGATTGCTGTATGTAACAATATAGGCACAAGGAGGGTAAAGTGCATATAATCCAGTTCAGAGTCTGGGGTAAAAATAACAATTGGATCCAGACCCTACTGCCCTTGCCTATCTGAATAGTCTTGAAGGTTCACATTCTGATTACAGTTCTCCCCTGGGATTAAAGCAATGAGCATGTTATGTTTATTTAAAAAGGAAACTTGGAAATGGGTTCTGTTTTTCATTTACATTTGTATTATCCTCAAGATATTCTTCAAATCAAAAATGAACAGTGGCCAAACTCTGAGCACTGTTATTTTACACTATAAAGTAAGTAAGTACTGAGGCTTATCCATAATCCTGCATAGTTGGTGCATTTACACATGCACTTTACTGTGAAGTTGACTAATCAGTTCCACAGTAAAGCATCACAGTCTCTACATGTGCGCTGGTATTAGGGTGCAGCAATTTAATTAACTCCACTGAAATGCACGTGTAGACAGTAACAAGGGCTGGCTGGGGCATGAGGGTGCTAAAGTGTGGGGGGCTGTCTGCTGCCTAGCCCTGCACTTTAGCACCCTCGTGCCCCAGCCAGCTCTGCTGCCACTCAGAGCCTAGGGCTGTCTCCCCCACCCCTCCCAGATCCTCTGTCAGTCTGGGGCTACTCTGCCCTAGCTCAAACTGCTGTGCTACACATGTAAACGCTGTGCCCGGGAGCAGTTTTCTCTAGTGCGAACTGCTCCGGAGTTTATCACATTGCCTTAATGAAGTGTAGATGAACCAAGTTAGTAGGAAAGAGATTAGTACTATCATAATTTACTGAGTATTTAGGTTTCTAGTACTTTCGGCCTCAATCTGACCTCTGACTCAAGTGAATAAAAGAGCAGTTTTTGCTGGCATGTATGCCAGTGTAGTAGTACTGTAGTTGAATTCATGAGGGACTTGACACCAGGTTGTGCTTTTAGATAGAAATCTCATGCTATTCTAAGTTATGCAACAGACAAACTATTACTCTACAACAGCCATTTCCTACTGACAGACAGACTTCTAGAATTTTTCATTATGTTTTGTAAACTGCTGCTCTGCTGGTTCAGTTTGTCATTTTTGTTACTTTGGAAGATTACAAGGTGAAGGGTTCATGTTACTTAAATTCTCCATTCCTCCAAGATTAGAATAATTGAATCATAGAAAATTAGGGTTGGAAGGGATCTCAGGAGG